CCTTCTAGGGTCAAAGAGTCGTTCAGAAAAACACGGGAATCGTTCCGTTCTCTCCTGATGCCATCGACAAAACCAGCTTGTCGCTCCGTCATTCCCCCAGACCAGACAGATCAGTGATTGACATCATGAGCATCGATCAACACAATTGGGATACAATGCCTTGTGGCAACCATACCAGCGAGACTGACCACCCGATCCCGTTAGTCGCCTCCTACGTTATGCATGGGTTGCTGAAGACCTTGATCTTCACGGATAATGGAAGGAGTTCAACACCAGGACGCAGCGTCTTGTACAATCGAGGAGTAATGTGTTATTAGGAAACTATCGCTCAATGTAAAGGCTATGAACGTCACTCTGATGCTGTATGCAGGAAGGCCTACTTTCACATAAGAAGCATCAGCCTTATCAAAAGGTACATTGGAGAGAAAGCAGTTAAGACACTTGTCCATGCTTTTGTTACATCATGCTTAGACCATTGCAATAGTCTCCTTTACGGCTCATCAGCGAAAACACTAGACAAACTACAGAGAGTCCAGAACTGTGCTGCTCGCCTCATTACTGGGACCAAACGGACAGAGCACATCAGTCCAGTACTTAAGACTCTCCACTGGCTCCTCATCAGATACAGAATCATGTTTAAGATTCTCATCTTTGTGTTAAACTCTCTCCACCTTCTGGCATCAGTATATATCAGTGACTTGATCTCACTTTACAACCCCAGAAGAGCACTGAGACCCAACTCCCCACGAGTGCTAGAAATTCCAACGACAAGAAAAAAGAATTTCGGCGTCAGAGCTTTTTCTAAAGCAGGACCGTGACTGTGGAAAAACTTGCCACCAAACATCCAGAACATTGAAGAACTTGAACAATTCAAACGTGTCTTGAAAACTCACTTTTTTTGACAGTGCCTTTGCCTAAGCGCCTCTGAGCAAAGTTGTTGGAAAAGGCACTATATAAATACTAACTTTATTATTATTATTATTATAAAGGAACCGCATCATTCAGGCAGACCACTCAAGACGTCAGCTAGACAAGATGCAGCCCTACTTAGACTTGTTCGGCGATTTCCCTTTGCACCAAGACCAATGTTAAAACGTCAATTGGGCGGTGAGGTAGCCTAGAGGTTAAAGTGTTCACTCGCCACGCCGAAGACCCGGGTTCGATTCCCCACATGGGCACAATGTGTGAAGCCCATTTCTGGTGTCCCCTGCTGTGATGTTGCTGAAATATTGCTAAAAGCTGCGTAAACAACTCACTCACTCACAAAAACGTCAATCGCTTCCTCATCAACAACTCTGTTATAAAACTGTTAGAAATCGACTGAAAACAGCAGGGTATAAGGCCAGGAGTCGCATATGCTCCAAGGAACATCCTGGAAGAAGTTTGATTCGGCGGGGATCCTTGATGGTATGGGTCTGTGTGTCGTGTGACTGCAAACTTCAGCTTGTGACAGCGAGAGGAAATCTCAAAGGACTAAGATATCAAGGAAATCTTGAGGAGACATGTAGTACCTCATTGTGACAATCATCCCTTATTAACAGGGCCAATCATAATGGATGACAAGGCCCGGCCAGCCTGGTTCCCTGGGTCTGTTGCGCTTGCGCTAACGCTCCGGCATCGACCCAGGCAACCACTGCCGAATGGCGGCCTTCACTGCAGGGAGACGCGCCATACATTTACTGTAGGAAAATCCGAGAACGGGTGGTTAGAAATTTTTCAAAGCATTTTCATCGATAACATGGCAAAGTACACGTCACCAGAACAACGCCAATCGTTACTTTCAGTGTACGAAAACGTTATTTAAGCAGTTTCGAGACACGAAAATCGTCGCTACATTGGCGATATGTAAACAATGACACCGACATGTTCTTTGATGTTTCGTTTCAACTCGCTATTGCCAAGAAATCGTACACATAAACCATGGATCTGAACGACCACACTGATTGAATATAGTTAGCATCTTTATTTTAGCAAATTTGATCAAGTGTAGTTCGATGATTTGGTCCCACTTTCTCCTGTTGTATGCTGGAAATAAACTGAACGCCAAGTAATAGTAACTAGAAAATAGTTGTTACCACATTATATAATGAATAATAAATAGACTTAATACATTTGAAACACATAACTGAATAATTTAACCATGTATTTTTAACAATGTATGTGCTTTCAAAATGGAATAATAATAGAAGAATATGGCCTGTTTATTATTTATATTCATTTCGCATATATACTCATGCCAGTAATGGTTGTCACCCCCTCCCAACCCCAACCCCCACACACCCCCACCCCTTTCCAATTACAAAAATTGAAGGGGGTGACAACCATTATAAGCATGAGTTTATCATGCAGTCGTTAACAGTCCCAAAGGTTCGATCAGTTTCATTCGGCGAGCGACCATTCCGACATGCAGCTCCATATCTATGGAATTCGTTCAACATAAACCTTTCTGATTCTCTCGCAAGTTTCAAATCTCCCTTACCAACTCTTCAAACCATCAGGTATATTTATTGTATATTATCCTCTGATTTTATTGGGGGCGGTGGGGTAGCCTAATGGTTAAAGCGACCGCTCGACATGCTGAAGACCCGGGTTCGATTCCCCACATGGGTGCAATGTGTGAAGCCCATTTCTGATCTCCCCCGCCGTGATATTGCTGGAATATTGCTAAAAGCGGCGTCAAACCATACTCACTCACTCTGATTTTATTGTAGCGCCATGGGCATGCCCAATAGCGTGGATGCAAGCTCATTATAAATGTACATTATTATTATTGTTATTTATCATTAAAGGAGAATCCTCCATTTCTGGACAGACTCCTTGGAGAAATCAGACGGGCGGAAATGCAGAAAACACAACGTACCAAAGACACAGGATAAATGAATAGTTTCCAAGTCAGGAGATCATTTGATGTAAGTGTTTAAGCATGTTATACGTGGAAAACCACCTCAGCGATTCTATTCAAGATATTCTCTGCTCAGCATGGATTAGAATCTGAAGTTATCTGAACACGGCATTTCTACTCGCCATCAGCACAATAGCCTCACGTCCTGTGGGTGTTCCGACAACATTCAAACAGGCAACATTTCAATGATTACTTTGCGCTTGGGCAGATATTAGGACCGGAGTTTTCAAGTGGACAGATATTAAAAGGGGTTATGCACATACTGCAAGTTTTCTGAACATCATTCATCTGTAGCTGGCCTTTTTGAAACAGATAAAATAGAAATCTGTAGGGGTTGCATTTAAATTGAGTTTAGCTATCCTTATCCAGCGAGACAGTTTTAAACGTTGTGCGGGATTTTGCGGCATGTTGGTTAATGGTGGTTGAGTGAAACATTCTAAATACGAATACTTGGAATTCATGAAATAAACATGCTGTATGGCACCAACGCAGGTGTTGGCGACGTTGACTAGCACAACTTCTTTTCTGTCCGACGACAGACTGGGATATTTACAGACCCCCTACATATACAGCCTGTCTGATTTCATTTGAGACCGAGTAATTGCTCACTAACACAAAATGTAATAATTGCAACCAAACCAAATTTTGCAGTCACTTGAAATCGACAGAGCAACTCTGATTATTTGTCTCATAACTTTGGACACCCGAATAAAAAAAGTTGTTCAACAAGGGTCATTATTTTGTTGTCTTATTACGCTATATTTTACGAGGGGTGATCACTTGCTGGTAGAACAGCCGTTTATCAAAAATGGCGTGTGTAGTGAAATTTCGATTTCACACGTGTAACTCGCACACCTGGCTGTTCTACCAGAAAGTGCCAAGCCCCTCCACCCCACCCCACCAAACACACACACACACAAAATCATTTTGTCTTGCACTCAGAATCAATATTCCAGCAACATCGCGTTGAAGGACACCGCAATTAAAGATTCGAACCCGACCCGTCGCCCTGACGTGCGAACGCTTCAATCACTATGTTACCCAACTGTCTCTTCAAACACTGTCACAAGCCAATCGAGTTATTCCCCTTTATCTCAAATCCATGAAACTCAGGCTTCATATTGTACACTACACTTGTTTGTGTTGTATGGGAGATAATGTGCGCTTCTCCCATAAACTCTCTTAATTCAATACGAATCCGAGTGCAATATCGACTGACATTATCAGATAATGCACATCGTCAACAAACTGAAACAATAAACATTATGTAATGTGTCATTGTGAGAAAATGCCAACGTCGCTTTGTCGCATGAAACATTATTTCAGGCTATTGAAGTGATGAGAAATGATGTTGAACGTTGTTGAAGTTGAAGATTACTGCAAGATCACTGCAAGATCACTAGGCACGTGCATATTCCTCTTTATCTTCAAGTCGTCTGCCGCAGTTTATCATAGTTTGTTTGTTTTTTTAATGCCACACTCCAATATTCCAGCTGTATGGCGACGGTCTGTAAACTTACGAACCTGGGCCAAACAATCCAGTGATCAACAGCAGAGTATCGATCTACGCAACTGGGATACGATGGCACGTGTCAACCAAGTCAGCGAGCCAGCCTGACCATCGATCTCGTTAGTATCGTTTTACGACACGCATGTGTTGCTCATAGCCACGGTCAGACACGGCTGACTGACTCTGATCGATCAGCTTTAGCGTCATCCCCATTATGCTCAATGCCAGACAACCATCTATAGTCAGTGAGTTTAGTTGTACGCCGCTTTTAGCAATATTCCTGCAATATCACGGCGGGGGACACCAGAATTGGGTTTCACACATTGTACCAATGTGGGGAATCGAACCCGGGTCTTCGGTGTGACGATCGAACGCTTTAACCACTAGACCATGGAGGCCTCCATATCCTCAAGGTCATGTGTGGTGCTTACAATAACTTATCTGACGACAAATAACGACCCTGGGCCTAAACCCGTACGCAGATTCTGATACACAAGTGACCTAACTGCGTATATGAAGAACAGCAGGGCCTGTTTGCATCTTACTGTATGTCGTTTAATAAAAGACGTATTCGTAAATCATTTTTTTAATTCTTTATTTCAAAAAGGTCATACATTTATTATATGAGACCCTAAAATATAGAGCACCATGTGGCTACGTACAGTTTAGAAAACATAGAATTGTAACAATATGAAAATATCTACTAGTTCAGAAAGCGAAGCAGGTAGTGCGTCATGAAAACATATCAAACACTTATTGTTTGTCATGACTCAAAACGAGACCAAACACGCGTGCATTGACATAACAATACTTTTTGTGCCTATATTATCGCTATATAAATATGTTTTGCTGTTCCATTATTAGACGGATTGATCATTGTGTGTTGCGTCATCAATAGGGCCGAGTAATGATGTGTACAGCACCATGTGACGTTGTGACGTCACTTCCGGTTAACAGATCACTCTCGTCCGTACTGACAATGCAAACCACAAAGGCACCTTAACAATTAACAAATGGAATTCATAACCAGACTCTCAACTACATATTTAACAATTATTATGATTTAATCCAGCATGCAAAAGACAACCCATTCTATCGACACGATGTCGAATTTCCGACCGTCCAATGTTCCCATAATCCCTTACGAAAGTATCCCGTTAACCAATGAGAGGGTCGCGTTTGGTTACATCAACGTTTTGTACAAAGAAAGACTTATTGGTAAGGCGTGCAGTTCAACATTTCCGTCGTACGAATTATGCTTGTCAAATTGATGGAAAATTCAGCTGCCGATAAAAGATCCGAAACTCACATTGTCCACGGGCACCTGTGACAGAAGCGGGTATTTCGCTGGTTCACTTTAACCCTGTTCTGCCGATATCGTAACCACTTTACCAGCGACCTTCACCTTTAAAAATCAGGGTCATAATAACCTTGACCTTTAAACCCTGTGTCAATAAGATTCACAACCTCCAGAATGCTCTCAGCACAAAGGACATACATGGGACACCCACTCACATCAACATTATTTACAAAACAGTAATCACAAACAAATACTAGATCTCCACTGCCGTTGGGTAATGCATGTACTAGTATGGAATTTATATATAGTTTTGTTAAGTGTATTTCACTCTGCAGGGCAAGACTTTGATTTCAGCATAGAAGCATGATTGATTACAGTCTGACCATTCCGGTTTTCATACCTGACCACGAGCATTAAGAACATCAGAACCGACGAATGTTTTCATTCCAGTTTCTCCCACCGTTTTCAGAATCAGACATAATACTCGTTGAGCAACTGAACCAAAAATGGCTAATAAAAAATATATATTTCTGGACAACTTTCTAAGAGTGAACTAAACACTAAAGACTAAACACTGTTGTAAGACTGGCCTTTGGCAAGGAGCCCTATAAAGCCAATTAAAAGTGGAACTGAAATGTTATGTATATTGACAGAGCAGATGTTCTAGTACTGTCTAGAACTGGTCGGCGTTCTTTGTTGCGCGCTCAGTGTAGTTGGTCGTTTACTTCAGTCCGGAGATTGTTGATTTCAGAGAAGCCTTCTCCTGTTGATGAAAAGAAAGCAAAACCGTTATATGCTGTGATGATATGTCACAGTTCCCAGAAACATTGTTCCTATCTGGAAGAGTTAACTCCCCTAGTGCCCTGTAAATAGGTCCTGTTAACGTTGTGTTTCTACAGTAGTATGATTTGTTCAAATATTGAAGACATCAGCATGATAATATCAATAACCAAATTTTGCTGATAGCCAATACCAATTTAAATGACTCTAAACACCCGAATTTTCACGATTTCACAATCATCAATTGGAAACCACGAGCAGATCCTGGCACACCAATGGGACGTAACTGTCTACACATGTTTCGAACAACGTCGCCTGCCTAAGGCGACGCCAACACGCCAAGGTCCTAAAGACTTTCCCCGATCGCAGACACCCATCGATTTATCCCCATTACAACCATAACATATCACGCCATCATACTAACGTTGTTGCCTTCGTCAAGGAGAATGGTGGTGCCGGAGCCGCCTCCCCAGGAGAAACATTCTTTGTTGATGATGTAGTCGCAGGGGATTTTGTCGCCGGGGCCTGGGGGGTTGCCAGCAGCATAGATCTAAGGGAGATAATAAATAGATTAAAGCACAAGGTAGAGAAAGGGACCGTACGGAATGACGTTGACTGGCGACTAGCCAAAAGTGCAAACCTTCAATTTTGAGGGTCGTATTTTGTTCAGAAACATTTTGGTTGTTTGTTTCACATTAAATATCTTATTCGTGGGCGCAAAGCCACAAACGTGAGAAAGCAATTATTTCAGAAAAAAGCATTTCGAGTCATTTAGCATGTGCCACTTGCATAAGATAAGGAAACTATTTCTGAAAGAAGAGGTGGTCCGATATTGGGACAGCATGGACCACGACTTTCTAACTTCTTAGATCAGTAGTATGCCCCGCCGCATTGAAGCCTGCATTGCTGCCCATGGTGACTTGACAAAAATACTAACTGTTCACCTGTCTTTGAATCTGGAGTTATGTTCTGCTAATATTCACATTTAATACGAGTGAAAAAATTAAAAAAATACAATCTTTAAATTCTCAAACATTTCTGGTTGTATATCTATGGAACTCCACCACTTAACAACAATTTCTCGTTTCTATCGTTTAAAGCCACCATCAAACATGGTAGCCTGTCTCACAGTCCCTGTACCATATTATTTTCCTTACTGCCAGGCCCTCCCTGCAATACTAAAGCCGTAAATAAAGCAAGTCTAGATTCCCTCACTAGTCTAGTCTAGATCTCACTGGGGCTCCTACCATGATCCGCTAGTTCTGAATATCCTGGTTCAAATCCAAATGACTCACCCTCAGCTTGTTGCCCTGCTTCAGAACGGTGTTGCCGAAGGTGAAGACGGCGTCAGCCTTGCCGGGAATGCTCCTTTTGAGCGTCCATCCGGACAGATCCTGATTCTGAAAGTCAAACAGAGGGACACCTTTACCTAAGGTTTCATGGTTACATGAGCGGTGGGGGTAGCCTAGTGGTTAAAATGTTCGCTCGTCTTGCCGGTTCGATTCCCCACATGGGTACAATGTGTGAAGCCATTTCTGGTGTCCCCCGCCGTGGAATATTGCTAAAAGCGGCCTAAAACTAAACTCACTCACACTTACATGACAACATGAAGAGCATATGGCAACTGGTTCAAACAGTTTTAATTCATACTGTGGTTGTTTAAAGCGACCTCAGCACGAAGGTGTTCATAGCTCTCATACCTTAACAAAGACTTACGGCAGTCGTAACACTAAGGTTGATGGTATACGCTAGCATACTAGTATATGTATTTGAGTGCTCATTTGATCATATTCTGGGAAAACTGTTATCATTTTCACGAAAATATGTAATTTCGTATCAGCTCATGCTTCTGTATTTATTTTCAATGCGTTTCCAAGGTGACAAGTACAGGGGCACGTAAACATGACGTTTGTTAGTTTAAAAACATTTTCCCATTTTCTTACCTTTCCCTTTGATCCAGAGGTGGTGTTCTCAATCATGATGTAACTTCCGTCAATAGATGCCTCGACGAAGGCGATTGGTCCACGGGACGACCTTGACTGGGTCATTCTACCGGAAGCCTCGCTGTTCATGCCTGCAGAACGGTTTGTTCCAGCTATTATAGTTATCAATCAAAAAGGTGTGAGATGAATATGAAAAGGGTGAGGTGAAAAGAAATAAAGGAATTAAATATACAGATAATGTTAAATCCTTTAGATATTGACAGATGGGTTAAGTGCAAACACGACTACATTGACAGAAATGTTAAGTGGTTAACATTCAATTGGTATGTGCAATATGCTTCAACGAGTAGAACATTTGCTATACAAATTGGTTATATAAGAACACAAAGGGTTACATTGTGAGAGAACAATGGGGGGAGGTGTCGGCGGGATATATGATTATTGATTTTCAAGCAGAGCAAACTAGACTAGGCCAGGCCACATAACGGCAACCTGGGACAGCTAGTCACGTGACCTGACTGTCTCATTTACGTCACCTGTCCGGTAAAGCTTGTGTGGGCATGATCGGCACGAGTGTGGCCTCATTCACACCATTTAAAGCAGATAAGAGTAAACATGCAGAATTTCTCAATGACTGATGATGGGTGGGGGCAAATATTGAAACAATCAGGGATAGGCGACCGTTAGAAAAGCAAAGGGAGAGAACTTGTGGTAAGCTGGTTTCGGATTATTAAGGGTTATCATTTTTATAATACATCTGGATGTTAATCCTCAATTTTGGGTACCAAATTACCTTAACACACAGAGGAGCCTATAGATTTACCTCATTGTAATATTTACTGGTCGTATACAGTAGAATATCAAGAGATTAAACGTAAAGGGTCAACTGTTTTAAAACGATATTTTCAGTTGAGTGAGCATGAAAGGATTGTGCAGTTGTTCCCATGGGCAGAAGTGTCTACGCTTCGGTGAACATGATTTACATACGATGTGCTATGACTCATAAATACAGCCCTTTCAGAAGATGCAAATCATTTAATACTTGTTAACAGAGGACCTATTCAACATGCAAGTTAGATCCAACCTCATTCTAAAAGACTTGCTGTTGTGGAAAAAGTTATGCATTAAAGTGCGCAAAGGCATTTGTGATCACATAAATGGCAACCGGTAGCAAGCAACTCTCTTTTGAAAACTATAATAAAACGGTGGGGACATAACAATGATATCTAATTTCCCTATATACCACGCGGCAATATAAAATAGAATTCCACGCAGCTAACTCTCCAATTCACGAGCCGTAGTTTCGTAGTTCAATTTGTTCACAGCCCCCAGTCACACAAAGTCACCACAATTTTTTATTTAGCATGAAGGGCAAATACATGTAGATCCTGCTGTGAATAGCACATTGTTGAAATAGTTTCAAACAATCGGGACCGCCCCTGTTTGCTATGACAGTGACAGAGCGAACTTGTTTGTACAAGACGCCTCGCGCAGAGGGTTGAAAGGTCACCAACTCAAAGTTGCAAATCAGGTATTACTGCAAGCCTCGCTTTGGAAGGAAAGCCTCTGTTTGAACTTTAGTTCATGGATTGAGGTTTCGCCTGATTGGCTGAGCTAGATGACTCACTGCCTCAGGTCTGCGTTCCGTCAGTGTTACAGTCCCACATAATCATTCAATTTCACTGCGTTAATGTTTTGTATGTTAGTCTGTATGGTGTCCTGAGTGTTTTGTAAGGCTTACATTTCTAGTTTAAAATCCTACTGTAAATTCCCCTTTGAACAAACCTACGTTTCTGACATTATTGCCTAGTAAATTACATAGTTTCACATTTTTTTTATAACTTCTATAACATATTTAAAAGTTTCGAACATATAAATGTCAGACATACACTTCCATGTTTTCCAGAAAGTAAATTACGTACTTCATATGATTAAAAATTATTTCTACGAATATTAATTTCAACTAGCAGACCTACGTGAAATAGCATAAGGCACACGAATTGCTCTGAAAAGTATTTGAATGGACTCCTTAAGCTAGCAATTTATGAAGTAGTATTCATCGACAAGAACCTGAAAAGTATTGCTATAGGAAAGTCACAGCCACATCAAGCGAGTGAGAAACAAATCAATATATTTTTTCACGCAACTACAAAACGGGGTGATCAATCACAACAGATGCAACAGAAAAAGGGTTCAAAGACACGGCCGAAAACAAAACTTTCACAACTGCATTTACCATTGCACTCATGACCTAAAAAATTATTGACTTTGTTTCAATTTGGGAACGGTGCATTTTTACGACTTACGTAATTCAACATTACATACACGAATTGTTAGAAATATACATACTTTCAGATTTTGTCGCTGAAATAGAAACTAGATTCATATTCATGAACATTTTAGTCGTTACGGCAGGATTGTGAATAATTAATATTTGTATAATATCTTTCTATGCACAAATATACTATTGGCTGTGAATATATACCATTGTAGTGATATGGGTTTATATACCTTCACCATATATATGCATATATCTTGTTTGTGGTTATATATTATGTATATGTGTCTTAAAGGAAGATCAAGATGAATTAACATTCAACATTTTATTCGTGTGTAATGAAAAAAACGTGACAATTCACTATATCATGATCGAAAATAGTGCTAAAATACAAAGAGTAGAATATAGGATATATTTACTTTATCACATTGATGTACACAACCTACTTAGATCGTACGTATAGCACCGGCCTTAGAAACAAAAAGGAAATTGCATGAAACATTCATCTTCTTTGCTTTGTTACATGTGGACACGTGATTGGTCGAGTTGCATGCTGCTTGAAATTCTTTTGTGACATGGCTTGTGATTGGTCAAAATCATGCGGAGAATGGATAAGAACATGCTTGTCGTGGTAAAACAAAGGAACAGTGCGTAGTATTGCCATATGTTTGGATTCGTATATACAGGCTCAGTTTAAACTTATACGGGCTCGTAACAAACGGAACGAAATAATTTTCCAATTTCGTCTGAGTTTTTTGTCACGAACATGGTGAAAATGCAGCCACGGCTGCGGAAGAGCGAATCACATTTATAACATGATCTCCGTGGCGATCGCCAACATATGCTACATATTTACACTGTCAAGGACACGTGATAGGAAGGGAGATAACCACGTTCTTCGTGCGAAGAATTGAAGGTAAGGAAGGGAGGGTGCAAGGATTACCTCCCCTGGGTGTAAGTGAACGCGACGTTGGGTCAAAGGTGTTAGTGTCCACACGACAGATTTGACAAAACAAAGAAAATGTTAGTGACATACACAGAAATAAAGCAGTACGTGGAATCGGTCACTCTGAGGCCTCTCTTTACAAGCATATCGTGACAGCCGGGTGGAAAATTATAAACTTTATGAAAATTATGCTTCGTTGTTGTATTTACACGTTGAAATTGGACGTTAGACACTGCGTTTTTCACCCAGTGTGACGCGACTCCTATAGATACGGTTTATAGTAGAAATATTGCAACAGTATAGGCAAAGCGTTAACTAGCCCGACCACAAAGCAAAAATATATGCCAAATGAGAGGGCCCGAAGGTGCCCGCTTTAACGTCAGAAATAAAACATTTGAAAGTCATGCTAGAAGATGAGGGTTTGAGTCCTCCCGGGCCGACACCTCAAGGACGATCACGTGATGGCCACGTGTTTACTTCTTACTGCTATGTCCAACAGCCGAGCTGGAGGAGCTTGAGGTTGTGATGAATTCACTAAGTTTTTGAGCTCCAGATCCTTGCACCCCAACTGCCTGTTCAACGATCTGTTTGAGACCAGCCCTGGAAGAGAAAATTGGAAATATTTAACAATCTTGAACCGTTACTGACACGTCATATTCCACCACCACACATGTAATCTAATTTCTAAGATTACATTGGGTACGTTACTTATCTGAAGTTGATTATCTCCCCTTTGACCGATGACTCCAAAGATCTCACAATTCATAGCTAAGCCTTCAGCGCGTTTTCAACCAGTCCAAGCAGTCTTCTCTGTTATTTCTTACAATATCTTTCTGCATATCACTACGCTAGAATGAATAAGCTGAAAAAGGGCCAGCTCACAACACGTTCGCATCCATCTAAAAAATGAGTCCATACTTTCGAGCAATATTATATAAGAACTGGGAAATTGGTGACGATTGCCTCACCTGTTCTCTTCACCCTCCAACAACTGCCTGTAGCAGCAGATCTCCAGTTCCAGGGACAGCTTGGCGTCCATGATGAGCTGCAGCTCGTGCAGACAGGTCTCCAGCTCGGACTGCAGACGGTCGACATCTGTCTGGTATTTCAGTCTCAGCTCATCAGTGTCCCGACGGCTCTCGGACAGCTGGCGGGCGAGATCGTTCAACTCAGCCTCCAGGGTCCTCAGCTGAAGGGCAAATCACACATCAGTGACCTTGTAATGAAATCCGTTGTCAGGGCAACAGTCAGATGTCTGACCCAAGCTCTCACACTCCCGAAACCCCAGGTATCATCTCTGAATTTCAGTGGTCTATTCGTGTTCTTGTTACTTCAAGTTTCAGCAATAAATTCATTCAATTTTTAACTCTTCTTTTCCTTTTACGCTAAATGGAAACTGTTACGGCATGCAATCGAGCCCACTTGTTCTCTGGTGTTGAGGTTTTCTATATACACCGTATTGAGGTTTTCTATATGCACCGTATTGAGGTTTTCTATATACACCGTATATATAACACTCACTTAACATCTATAGGGTATCGCATGAATAAAGTTGTCTAATTCATTGTGCTCAAGATACAACTGTTGAGATTTTCAAACGAATTTATATGTAAAGATATCGCATGTTCGTAGTCCAAGAATATATCTTCTTACAGAAATCCATGAAATGGGATTGATGTGTCGCGCGGGTTTAAAGAAATTGGATCAAATGAGACCAGTTGTTAGTTGTCATTACTACGTTATTCATTCACCTCATTCCTGAGGTCAATGTTTCCATAGTTTCAGTTATAACAGAAAGAAAAGGTAATGACTATAATAGTACACACTGGTGGCAATGTGTGAAACGAGATTTAAGTGGCTCCAGATCTATTGGAATAGCAAATACACTGATGTTCTTTTCAGTCCAATGCCTGAGATTATGTGATGATGTTGCCAAATGACGTCACTGAATGTAACGTAGATTACATACCCTAGCCTCGGCGTCGTTGAGAGCGCTGGTCCTGTCGGACAGGCTGCCCTTGAGTTTCTTCACCTCCTCCCTCAGATGGGTACTCTCCAAGTTGTCCTTCACGGCGCCGCTCTGGAGCTGTCTCACCTATAAATACAAGGGAGATCATTCTCAAAACCATGTTTTAAAGGGACGTAACTCTCAATGCGTAGCTATTCCGAAAAGGGCAAATTCTACTTTTGCTGATTTTATTACAAGTCATCATACATAATAACTATTGCGAATAGTATTATTTGGCATTCTAGGAGTTGCTGAATTGCGAATGAGATATACTGAAATTACAAGTGCATGATCTAAATCTAGGCTACAAAAGTGGCAGGTGTACATCATATGAAAGCAAAGGATCGAGTTGAATTAATAAAACAGAGTTTGAAATATTCAATACTGCGCATCGTGCTTAAGTACATTCAAAAGTAGACTGGGCCGCGTCGCAGTCGCAGGATTAACGATCGCCTAAGATGGTTTCGAAGATCGGACCACAGTTCATAAGGGGTTAACTCACCTGAGCATTCATTCTCATCTCCATATCGTCTCTCATGGTGCCAACGACGTTCTCGTACTCGGTGGAGAGGTCTCTGATGGCCTGGGCCATCTCCTTGTCCCACCAGGCGCGCATATCCATACCGGCGATCCTGGTTGTCTGCTGTGTCTCTTGTGGGATCTGTAGGTAACAAAGTGTTAGTAAGTAACAGAAATACTTTCAAATTGAGGATAATTGAGGATTATTGAGGATTATGCTATTTTTGATAACAAATATCGTCGTTTGGCATTTCAGGTATTTTTAGCATGTACAGATCACAATAGTACAATACACAACGGTTATAACGAACCCAAGGGGACTACAACTGTTAGTTCGTTATAACCGTTATTCCTTACACGGATTTCGACTACAATATATAGCAAGTTGAAACAGGACATGAAATGATCCAAACAGTTCATTTTACCGGTTAGTGTGCTTGTTATAAACATTGATTACTCTATCATTTATTGTAATTTTTTATTTAAATGTACAAGTTATGTTCTTCGAAGAAAAGACCATAAAGTCATAATCGTATACCTTGAGTAAGCCGAATATCGGTTCAATTCACATTCAAGTGGTTTAACCATTTGTATTTCTGGGAATGTCTCAATACATTCGCTATGCGCATTTCGGCTGAACTATACAGAAAGTGGGACACAAATAAACCCAGTTCGTTATATCCGTTGTTTTGTTATAGGTGTGTTCGTTTTAAAAGTAGTGTGCTGTATTCAGTCACGCACCTTGTCCAGAAGAGCCCTGAGGAACTCGCACTCCTCCTCGAAGGTCTGTGCCCTGTTGGAAGCCTCGATGTGGGCAGCAGTCTCACCGTCAAGGTCCTGGAAACGTGGATTGAAATTTAGTCGTTGTTCTTGTTTTTTCCCGTGTTTTTTTTTAAAATTGAATTCGTTTAAATTTTACGATTTATATACAGTTCTAGGCAAAGAATGTATTTATTGACTGAAGATTATGTAACTTCCAAAGAGAATTGTTCATCCTTGTGATAGTACCTATTACACATAAAAATCATGATCGATCAATACTTATATGTGTTCTCAAGGTTTTACATCAACTGCATTCTTAATTATAAGAAAGCATCCATTATATAGTCATCATAGTGGAACAATTATAACATACTGAGAAACGTCATGCGACAATTGGTGGTTTGAGATTTGGAGGATGCGCTACTTACGGCCCTGAATTTCTTCAGATCATCATTGGCCCTGTTGAGGAGTTCACGGATCTTTTCGTTCTCATCCTCGCTGTTCCTGATTCTCAGGCGGAGGGAGCCAAGCTCGCCCTCGTACTCTCCAACCTGGGTGGTCAATTGGTTGATCTTGGAAATGTAGTCCAGCTTATGCTTCTCAAGAATGTCGATTCTGCAAAGGCAAAAATAACTCAGTGAACCAAAGCGTTGTGGGCTGTTTCTTTACTTTTTTGTTTGTTTCGTTCCTTCATTGCTGGTTGGTGTATGGTTTAACGCCCCACTGGGAAATATCAAAGGCGTCTGGAACAAATAGTCTTCGAGTGCTAGTGTGCATGCATCTGCGGCCACCAAGCTCAGCAATGTTCTAGCTATATGACAGCAGTCCGTAGATAATGGAATCTGGTCGACGGGATCCAGTGATTGACATCATGAGCATTTGTCCACCCAATTGGAATATGGTGCATGTATCAATGAGAATGGGACCACCCGATCCCGTTAGTTGCCTCTTACAAGAAGCATGAGGTTCTGAAGAACTCTGACTGTCCAGTGACTTCTACGTGAATGTGATTTGTAATGTTCACGCACAATGATTTCGAGTTAATTTCCCTTTAGAACTGTGGCATTCAGAAGGACAGAGCCCATTCCAGTTTCTTATGTTTTGTGGGACAAACGGTGGCACAAAGGGCAAGAAGGCGTTGGTCGGTTGTTCGAATCCGTTATTCACCACAAAGTTTAAGGCTAGTATATAATCATCTGAATTTCAGAAAATCTCGTACTTTTAAAACACCAAGTGTCACAAACCTTTCTACAATGATCAGGACCCTACAAGCTATAATGATTAAAGGGATATAAACATGATCCATAACAGAAATCCCAGGCAACAAACTCTGTATCTCAACTTTGGCTGCTCAACTGAGCGTGTGTCCTTTGACTTATCAATATATTGCATGGAACTTATGTAAAAAACAGGTAGAAGTGATTGTATAAATACTAATTAGTAACACAATTTTTTAAAACAGATGAGGAAAATGTATTTCGAAAGTTTTCCTACCATGTTGCCGTATGTGAGTAACCTTGACCTTCAAACGGGTTCATATAGATTTATTTCACTTCTTAAACTACCGCGGATATCGATCTATGGCATTCCGCCAGATACGACGACTGAACGGCCGGAAAATCAATTTATAAGTCAACATGGACTTTCACATACTGAAGAGGCTATACTGCAAGCATAAAGTGCTGTGAAAGATAAACAAGACGTTTCACGTGTCGACCGTGATCCACTTTTGTATTTCCCTTGTGCACCGTTGGCAGTCTCCGATACGAAAATATCCAGGTCCTACTATTCGGTCGTATTTCAGAACGTAATAACATACATACATTATTCTGCCGCCGGATTTTGCTGGTGTACATTGAAATCATTACCAAAATATGTCGCGTATTGAAGAGGTTATATTATAAATAACCTTATTAGATATTGAGTTCATAATTCTAAAGCATTAACATTCATTAACGAAAAATATCTTAAGTTTCAAACTAATAAAGTGGTCATATGCCATCGAAATAATTTCTTATATTTCTTCTTTTGTTTGTGAAAGACAACTTAGTCCGGACCAAATGCAGACTGCTAAGGGAGGTAACTCTATTTCGACAAACTGAGCTATGACAAATAAACAAGAGTGCTCTCCCCTTGACCAGAGCGGCAGACGAGGGAAGTGTGCTTTTGTGGAGGTGTGAGGTGTTAGTCAATACTAGCAGCCAGGCAGTTATTGATTCGGCTGCTGGAAGGCTTAACCATCCCAGGTCGTCCCGACCCTTGTCAACAGGTACACTTCTAGATACGTTACATACTTAACTACATTCCGGGTTGGTGTTTCAATCAGGAACAAAAATGCGTGTCAGGTAGAAATCTAAGGCGGAACATTGTACAATGGCTAGAAATCGAAATGATCTAGTTGAAATCTTCAGATAAAACTCAAATGTCAGTTGGGGTAAGGTACGAAAGGTGTTAACATTTGAAATGTTCGTATTGTACTTCAGGCAGATTTCTGTTAGATCAATCAAAGCAGCTCTGTTGGGTCAAATAATTTCGTGAGAAACGTGATTCAAGACTAGGTGTGAATATTTCATAACGATTGCCACGTCAACAAGCCGTTCAGGCATTCCACAGCAAGTATCGTATTCCACCACCAGTGTTGAATTTCAAAACAAAACCTGCACAACTGGGACAATCACCAGCATTGTAACTCCAAACTACATGTTTATAATTAGATACGAGAAATCTTTCCGTCCTCCCGACTTAAATGAATGAAAAAACATTCTGACTGTTTGCATGAATATTCTGAAGCTTTATCCGAGCAATCTGCCAGTATATGTAACCTACAGCTGATTTAGCTGTATGAGGCAGGGTATGTTCATGCACAAGCCTTGCAACAAATCTGATGTCAGGTACAGTCATGCGTGAACCTGTTTTCCTCTGGATGTGTTTGAGAGATCGGTCGTGCAAAGGGGGCGTGGCTTATGTCGCCATCTAGCTGGCGTAGCGTGGTGTTGCGTGTCGGCCCGTGTCTAGTAACGACGCATCTGTTCGTGTGATATATGGCGTTACAGGTTAAGACCGATCCTATGCCACCTTTGTCGTACAGGAGAAAAGCTTACACGGCAGCGACAATCGTTGAATACACGGCTGTATATTTGCTTACAGTGCACTGTTCATACAGGGCCTTCCCAAACTAGCAGCGTTTTACAATTGTGAATGAACCTGCATTAGTTTTACCTTGCACATGCATATATGCCAAGCACGCATTTAAGACATGGTTTACATTCTGAATAAAATTGCACTAAGTAGAAGAAGCACAGTCGTAGTTTGACAAGAAACAAAACTAGTACTTACACTCCAGCTTGTCTCTGGACTTCGTCCTGGAGACCGGCGATCCTTGCGTCTACTGAGGCTTTTTCCTTGGACAAATCGTCAATGACTGTCCTAGCCTGGTTAAGCTCAGCCTCGTACATATCCCTGATAGGCTGGAGGTCGAACTTTTCCCGATGTCCCATCTGGGCCAGCTGATCCTCAAGCATTTTGATGCGGGCCTCCAAGAAACGCACTTGCTCGATGTACCCAGCAAGGCGTTCGTTGAGCCCTTGCATCTCTTTCTTTTCCTTTTGGCGACTGTCGCGGACATTGGCAACTCCTGAGGTGGACAGATGCTGGTAAGTTCCAGGAGCATAAGCCGGACTAATGGAGCTTCTCTGAGAGAAGGAAAACCCAGGAGAGCCTCCATGAGAAGAACGAAATTGGTTTCTGTTTACAATAGTTGAACGAATATTCATGGCAGGCCGGTACGTGGAGGAAGACGATGTCTTCGTGACGGTTGTCTGTTGTTGTTGCATGATTCCGATTTAGTTGGAACAGGTAAAGTTAAAAATCCTAAGCAGGCAAAGTCGATCCTGGTTGCCACAGCTCGAAGAGAGACGTGTTCACTGCACGCACACTACAGAGCTTGTGTCGGCTGGAGGGAGAGACTAACCCTTAAAAGGCAACGCCGGCTCGCGCATGCTCAGTAGGCCACTTCCGATCCGCAAGGCTGACTCATTTACAAACCCGTAGAACTCGTTTTTTAAAAGAAACATTAGTTACCTAGACATATATGGCGATAGATAAGTATATTCTTGATGTTTGTATGCATGTAAAGTAGCTTTGACAACAAGTGCAAGCTTATGCAAGTAGATCGGTCACTTTTCTGACGCTATGCTGAATCGACCAGTCCTGCTGTCGGTGGCACATGCCTGACTTAGTACAAGCGTACAGTAGATAGTGCAGACTATATATCATGCTTATTTGCTTATTTTTTATGTGTACGTTACGGATTTCGTTGTTCCTGTAACCATAAACTGCTTCATAGCATTTAGAATATCTCGTCGAAATTTTGCTTAAGCAACCTCCCATACAGAACGTGAATAGGATTGGATCACCTCCTTCCATGATAATCAGTCTACAGGGTGTTTATATTTCCTATCCGACCTTGTCGTCTTAGGAAAAGAATTTAGGAAAAATTGGTTCCCGAAACGTTACTTTCTCGGCTATATATAATGGAATAGTTATAGCATTTGACACTAAATACTGATGACAAATGTATCATTATTGATGTGATGTATTTCTGTATGTATAAACAGAAGATGGTTCTGTGTATTGCATATGTGTATCATGCGTGCAAGGCCGGACATGCTTGGTTAAGCCGGGGAACATATTAAATGACATCCATTAAGATTGCTTATATTTGTCCAGGAGGTCGTGGATGGTGAAGCAGAATGAGCTAACATTGTCCAGCAAGATTGCAGGTCAAGATGACATGCCTTAACTTTATTTACACTGCTGTCTTATTGTCGCTTATTATTAATAAGCCCACATACAATATACACCGCCCACACCGATGACTTAAGATGTTAAACAGGTATACGTGTCCATGTAAATTGTTAGTACGTGATTTAAATGCAGTTGGTAACTTTAGCTTTGCCCTACCCAATTCGCCTGAAAGCAACGCCGCCTACCCCACTCTTCACCCCCTCACCGCCACCCTCCCCCTATACACACACTCCCTAAAACAACTTCTAAGCCTGTGTGTCGACAAACACTAGTCACTGGATTCGCGAATCTTGCCGAAGCTATTCATGGTTGGTCACCAGCATGGGGCCATGTTGAAGCGACGTCGTTGACAATTTAATGTTGCCCTCTGTATAGGCATGGAACATCTGGCAAATATGTAAACGGAGAAATCAGGATTGCAACGTCACATGATGCTTCGTAATTAAACTGAAACGCATGGATGTATGTCTGAGGTGTATGGCAGGGGTGTATGTTAGGTATGTGGCAAAGATGTATGGCAGAGGTATTATGGCAAATGTGTATGGCAGAAGTGTATGGCAGAGGCGTTTGGTGGAGGTGTATGTCTTGTGTATGCCCAGAGGTGTGTGTGAACGAGAAAGCAATTAATACTATTTTGGAACACTCTGCTCAAATTTGTCGTTGCTTTTAAACCCGTTAACGTCACGCATGCCGTGGAATTTTGTTCTCGATTTTTTAATAAAAATGCAATGTACGACAAGATACAGTCACAAATAATGTCAGCTATTCATTCTAGGTTGAGTTGTTTTGACATATCACCAAGCATGTCAGTTTATTCAAGCTGAACGAGATATGGTTACGATATTGTTATGGACAAGAGTAGCAGTGTACGTAAGAATAAGACGGGACCGCCTAATGTTAAATGCCCTTACATAAGCTGCACGAAGCCGAGACAGGTTGGAGCAGAACTGGCTGAGCTGTCGCTTTTCTTTCAACCTGTTTTCCTGTGTCATGCAGTTGTAGTAGGATCACGTGACAAAATGCCGGCCGGCGTCGACTGACATCATGCGAGCAAACGTTCTACAAATTTACTCGAGATGTTTTTGTGAACATACCGTAGCTTAGGCACGAAACGGCAGAAATAAACCTAATTCGGTTATTACTATGTAATAGAATAAGTATATTGATCCAAGGTTATACATGTTAGGTTTTTCTTTCAGAGGAAGACGACATATTTGTCTAAAATTAGCAGCCAATTGAAAGGCAGTAAAACGATTGATTGATCGCTATACCTCCCCGGTCCTTGCGCTACCTGTAGCCTCAAGCGAACCAGGGTTTACTTTTTAAGGTGGGGCTACCCTTCAGCTCTCAAGAGACCGGCGAATTCACCCAATTACTCATTGTCTGTTTTCCTAATCTTTGATGGTCTCAGTGTTTGCGGTGCAAATACACTTATATGGGATGAATTTCTGCCAATGCGTATAATGCAAATAGGTATTGTTGGGCCACTTGTGAAAATGTAGCATAATTGGATTTCACCTATTTCAAACTCTGTCACATGCATGTGTGTTTTACCGTGAAATGGATCACATTATGATTGAAACTGTAATCATTGTGTGTAATGAATCAGCTATTACGTTTCCGTGTAATATTTAAGGACCGGTTTATAATCTGAATCACTTACCAATAAAACACATATGAGGTTGACAGAATTTCTGCAAATTCTTTATGTTGTTTTTAATATCGTCGAAATCTTTATTTCCGTGTTTAGTGTTTTGAATAAGGTGAATAAAATATATAGGGCATCATTTCATTGTACATACGTCTTTTCTTGGATGAGGGTCATGTAAACTCACCATGTTGGGATTGAACCACTGAAGTTCGGGACATTGACTTTGTCAATAAGTTCCTGTTCCTATATTTGTTTTGTTGTTGTTTGTTTGTTGTTTCACACCGCACTCAGCAACATTCCAGCTATCTGATTGCGGTCTGTAAATAATCTAGTCTGGGCCAGACAATCCAGTGATCAACAGCATGAGCATCTATCTATGAGATGCGTCAACCACGTCAGCGGGCCTGACCTTCCGATTGCGTTAGTCGCCTCTTACGACAAGAATTGGTTGCTGCAGAATAATTCTCATCCAGGCTAGCTATTCTCGAAACGTTCGTATCCCTACGAACTTCTTAAGCCCAATCTTAATACATTGGCTACGATCAAAGTTAAGAATTCTTATGGCTACGAACGTTACGAGAATAAGGTCTCTGATCTTCACGGGGGAGTGTATAAATAACTAACATTCTGAATATAGTGGTATGTTGGAAAATATGCCATATGCTGATGACAACAGTGCATGTTACCGATATATCATGTATGCTTTTAAAGACAGTGTGTCGGAGTATGTAAACAGTATAACATTTATCGAATATTTTGCAATAAAAATGTGTTCATAATTTTGATATTAATATCATTCCGAGATAATAATGCTGAAATAAACAATGTGATGATTATGATGATGATGATGATGATGATGGCTATGATGTTGGCAGGATGGTCTTATTACATAGGCAGCGATAACCATCGTTGAAGTAGGATTAGGTTAGACCTAATCATGCGTGATTTGTTATGGACGTGGAAAGAGATTTGTCGTTTGTATTATGACCTGCTTATCATATCTATAGTCTTAAAACTGACCTTAGGCTATATTGCAATGTCGTTTGATTGTATAGGCGCAAGTTTGCTTCATAATTGACTCACACCTTCAGCTCGCATCTTGATTCAGGACTATGAGCAGACTAAAGGGATCTGTGGTCAAGGCTGGTTGCCTTGGTTTAGTGCGTGTAATTGTATCGCAATTCCGTATTGATGCTCATGTAGTCAATCACCGGATTTTCAACCCCAGCATCGGGTTATATAAAGACAACGTTTAATGCTGCACTCATGCAATATTCCAGCTAACGTCATTACAGATTCTTGACTAGACAACCCGGTGATTGACATCATAAGCATCCATCTACCCGATCCTCATTGAAGATCCTCATTGAAGATCACATAGGCTGTGCATAGGAGAGTGCATATTTTTCTCAGATTCTCAAAATTGTATTTTTATAAATTCTTTTTATTAAATTAATGCAAGGGATTTTGGCGAAAACGTTTAATTTTCCCTAAGGTGTATAGACGATCTTATATTGATCAATAATGGACAAATTGCCACCGATTCAACCACCTGAGATGGAAACCGACTCCATCTTTCTGCGTCTTGAGTTACAATACATACTGTTTCTGTGAAGACTTCAAAGTCAGACATAAGACTCTTGCTGAAACGTTGTTTGGTCAATGTTATAACATTTAAGGTGAATGAGTGAGTTTAGTTTTACGCCGCACTCTACAATATTCCAGCTGTATAGCGGCGGTCTGTAAATAATCCAGTCTGGACCTGACAATCCAGGGATCAACAGCATGAACATCGATCTACGCAATTGGGATACAATGACATGTGTCAATCCAGTCAGCGAGCCTGACCACCCGATCCCGTTAGTCGCCTCTTGAAGATCAATTCTAACCCGGATCTTCACGGGGCTCATCTAGCTAGAATAGTGCTGAAAATGGCGTTCATGAACAACAAACAAGACTGCTGAAAAGAAGGTCCTTTGCTCTCAGAGGCATTGTATTTCTAGTGCTTCTTCAGCTGACACGAACATTCTTCAATAAAACTGCGAAGTATCTATAGAAACTGATGCACATTTGTATGTAATATACATGGCACGATCGCATTTCATACCATGACACGATAATACTGTTGTATGTATTGTAAACGTTAGGATCATCAAGTATGGCCGGTATGAATGTAAGTGAATGGTTCTTTTGTGATGTTTCATCCTGCATTGGACTGTAATGCTATAATGACCGTGTTGTATATACTAATTATGTTGTGATAGCGAAATGCTCTCTTGTCAAGTGTACAACATTAAATTATAACCTCTGTCAGGAGGAATTACATGTCTTACTTATCCAACTCTCAGCCCTCTGCCATGATAGTGTATACCTGTAATCATGGCTAAATAAACTATTTTTTCAACAGCCTGTTGACAGGCACTATTAAGGACAGGATTTGTGGAATTTACAAATTTATCTTAATAACTTTGTGGTTGTTTAAAGCATTAACCGAATTA